CCCCCACCCCATCCCCCCTCACAGTTCCGCCGCGCCTACCAGGCCCTGCTCAACCACGTGTCTGTCGACCTGTCCGCCTTCTACCTCGACACCGCCAAGGACCGCCTCTACATCCAGGGCACAGACTCCCACAGCCGCCGCTCCTGCCAGACCGTGGCCGCCACGCTGCTGCAGGTGAGAAAAAATGAGCTTGGGGGCGTGCCTCGAAGGGGGGGAGAAGAGGGCTCTGTGTGGCGCGTGCGAAGCGGGGTCGTGGCAGCCGGGGCGCTGGCCGGCGCGAGCGAGGGCGGCAAAGGCGAGGAGGGAACGGCGACCTCGCGGTCACGTCATCGGCGGCCGCTTCACGGCCTCCCTTGCAGTTTTCAACCCATCTGCGGGCACTCATTCCCGCCCCCCAGCGGCCATGCCTGACCCCAAGACAGCGCCCACACCCATCTCACGCACCTCCGCCCCTTCGACCCCCCATCCTAACCCCATTCTTCCCCAAACCGCCTCCAACCGCCTCCAACTGCCACCCACACAGGGCGTCTTGTCGGCCCTGGCCCCCATCACCCCCCACATGGCGGAGGACGCCTGGCTCAACCTGCCCTGGCCGCGGCCATCGGACAGCGTCTTCCAGGCCGGCTGGGCAGGCAGCAGCAGCAGCAGTAGCGACGGCGACGGCGAGCAGGGGCAGCAGCAGCAGCAGCAGCAGCAGCAGTACCGGCGGCGGCTGGCGGCGGCGGAGCGCGCGGAGTGGGCGGGCGTGCTGGCTGTGCGCGACGCGGCCAACGCGGTGCTCGAGAAGGCGCGCGCGGCGCGGCTGATCGGGCCGGCGCTGGAGGCGCGCCTGGTGCTCCATGTCGAGAGCGAGCCGGTCGCCGCCGCGCTGCGGCGGCTGGCCGCGGCGGCCAACGGCGCCGACGAGCCGCGGTACGTGCTGATTGCGTCCGAGGTTAGCGTCGCCGGCTCAGCGGCCGAGGCGGAGGCGGCGGGGGCGGGCGCATTCTGCGAGGGGGTGGCGACCGAGGCGGCGGGGCGCGTGACGGTGGCGGTCGCGCGGGCGGCGGGCAGCAAGTGCGCGCGCTGCTGGAACTTCAGCGCGGAGGTGGGGGCTGCGGACCCGGAGCACCCGGAGCTCTGTGAGAGGTGCGTCCCTGTCATCCGCGCGTCGGGTTTCCAGCTGCCGGGGGCGGGCGCCGCGGCGGCTGCTGCGGCGGCGGCGGCGGACAAGGCGCCGGTCGCGGCGTGAGCGAAGGGCTGCGGGGCCGTGCGGGCCGCTCGTCCGGGGCGGAACCGGCATTTTACATCCACATTCATTGCAACCGCACCTGTCAGTGGCACTTTTGGAGAGTTGTGATCTCTCCTAGTGGTGGATTTTTTGGTGCGCACATGCTTTCACGTATGCTGAGGTGCTCAGGCTGTAATATAATCAGCATTAGGGTGTATATGTGGGTGCATGTACCAGCAAACTCAGCACAGTAGCTGAGGCAGCATACGATGGCAGTGACCAAGTGACATCACTGCGGTGTGTGGTAGTGTGCACGACAGTCGAGCAGCATCAAAGCCGCAGTGAACATGATAGACTCCCACGATTTTTAACTTTCTAGGTACATCAGGCAATACGTACGTTATGTCCCAGATCAGACCTTGTGCTCCGCAATTCGAACGCCGTTCAATGCTTGGATACCGATACGGACAGCAACTGCTCATCTCAGTCCGGCCGAGCGCGGTGAATTGGCTCTTTCCTGCAGCAAGCAAGGCAAAGTTGTGCGCCGACAGCTGGAGCACCTGGCGCCCAACAACGTGCCTGCGTACCCACAGCAGCATGACGGACGTCGCGGCGGCTGATGCAATCGACGTTGATGATTGGGCGGCCATCAACGACCAGATGCGGCGGCAGGACGAGGCGCGCGAAACCCTCATCAAGCGAACGCGCGGTAGGGCGCGAGCGGCGACCCGAGGCCGCCCCTCTCTAAGCTGCACTTGTTTTGCTGTAAACATGCTTTGCGAGCATCATACCTCTGCAGTGTATGGCCCACGTGCTTGATCCATTCCCTCTTGACATCAGACGCGCAGAAGCTGGCCAAGCAGGCCATATTCAGCCTGCACAGGGGGCAGCACGAACAGGCCGGCACGCAGCTGCAGCAAGCAGGTGCGCCTCGCGAGGCCCCTGCACATGTGCTGCGAGCTCCTTGCACGCCCGCCGACGCCTCCGCAGCCGCCCTGACGCCGCAGCAAGTTGGGTCGGCTCTGGCGGGATCTGCCTGCGGGTCAACAGCGCAGCTGCCTCTCTAATAACGCACGGACGGCCTCCGTCGCAGCCTTGCACCCACGTTTTCAACCGTTTCCGATTAAACCACCCCTCCCCGCCCCACCCCAGAGGCCATAGCCCTGGAGCTGCTGCCGCTGGTGCAGCGGCAACCATCCCTGCGGCCCGGGTCATACGCCGCGGCCCTGGAGGAGGTGCGGCCAGCGGGCGGGCGGGCCCGCGCTACGCACGCTCCGGCGGGCCCGCGCCGCGCGTGCCCCAGCGCGACGGCGCTCCGTCGGCATGGCGGCCCGCATGGCGGCGGCGGCAATTTCCGGTCCCACAAACGCAGCGCCGCGAGGTGACCTTTTCTCTGGCGGCGTCCGTTTTGACCCCGCGCTTTGCAGTACGCGGAGGGCGTGGCCTTCAAGGTGTTTCTGGAGGAGCGGCGGCTGGTGGCGCGGCGGGAGATGCCGCACGTTGAGCTGGAGGAGTGTGAGCAGCTGGAGGTGGCGCGCGTGTGTTTTTGAGTGCATTTTTGTGTGTGTGTGTGTGTGTGCATTTGTGTGTGTGTGTGTATTTGTGTGTGTATGTGTGTGGTGGTAAATGGGAGGATGAGGACGTGGTTCTTGAGAACTTGCGTGTACTAGAGCACAGGTGCTGCCTGTCAATCCTGCTTCGTTGTGGCCCTTAATCAATTCCCTCACCTCGCGTTTGCCGCCCCGTTCCACCTGCGCAACTGCCTGGGGGAGGGGCAGTGACAGGGTGACAGGCTGAACGCAGGGGGCCTCTGGCCGCAGAGTTGATGGGCACCCAACCGCAACTACTCCCGCCTCGACCCGCAGACCTGGGAGGCGTGCTGGACATGACAGGTGGGGAGTGTGGGGCTTGCAAGCCTTCGGTGCACGCGTGCTGGGCAGAAGCTGGGAGGCACCAACAACCGCTGCATTCAGCCTCCTTTGCTGGTCCATGCCGCAGCGGCTGTTTCCCGGCAGATCTGCACACAATGGGCGCTTTGCTGACGCGCGCGCGCGCGCGCACACACACACACACACACACACACACACACACACACATGCGCGCGCAACCCAGGGGAACTCAACCGGTACGCCATTGCGCAGGTGCGGCCAAGGCGTCCCCGGATTTCGCTCGTGCAGTTGGCTGTCGTGCGCTCACGTGATGCCCCTTGCCTCCGGGCCGCCCGCGCCGGCTTGGCCTGCGCCAGACCTGCCATCACACACGCGCACAATCACGGCCCTCTCCCGCTGCCAGGCCACGAAGCGCGACTCTGCGGCCGTGGCCCTTTGCCGTGACCTGGTGGAGGGCCTCATGGGCCAGTTCCTGCAGGTGAGAGCAGCCAGTCAACAAGAAAACCTCGGCATGCCCCTCTTGAGCGCGCTGCCGTTGCACACGTACGCACTGCCAGTGCAGCACCGCGGCTGTGTCGATGGACTGGGCAGCCTGTCAGGCGCAGGGGTTGAGACCAACAAGCGGCTACCAAGGCTGGGGGACCAACAGGAAGTTGATGTCGCAGATCGGGTCCGGCCCGTGCCGTGCCGCCCTGTGCGCGCCCTCCGCCTCCAGCCTTCACCCTCTTTGCCCTGCTGTTGCGCCCTGGCCCCCATCAGCTAGATATGAAGAACGGCTCCCTGCGAAAGAAGTTTGATGGGCTCAAGTACACGCTGAAAAAGTTGGAGGTGGGGAGAGGCCCGCGCGCCTTGCATGCCCTGTTTGGGGGTGTGCACGGACGCATGTGTACAGCGGTGTGTGCATGCCTGCGTGTGCATGCCTGCGTGTGCATGCGCGCGACATTGCGGTTTATGTAAAATTGATGTGTGCTCTTCACGCGTGCCCGCATGCATGCATGAGGTGTGCGAGGGCGTCATGTGTGCAGGGAGCGACCTTGGTTCACCTTGCACTCTGCACTCCCATTCTTATCCGCCCAGAACACTATGTATGAGCTGAGCCTGGCGGAGGCCCACCGCAGGCAGTACGACGCAGACGGCGACGGCGGCGGCGATGGCGGCGGCCGCGACGGCGGCGGGAGAGATGGCGCGCAGGATGACCCGGAAATGGTGGGCTGCTAGGGGTCCAAGGCATGCTGGGCGCGCCAAAGTTAGGTTGATCAGGGTTTCGCATGTCGGCTGTGCTGCCCACATGGTCTGATCAGCGGCCAGGCGTCACGCCCTCTTCCCACATGCCCTCATGGCCCCCCTCAGCATCACGTGTGACGAGGGCGGCCATGGGGACCTAAGGACGCCTCAACACCACGGGATGGCTACTCGGGCTGGCCTGCACTAAACGTCAATTCGTTACTTCGGCGGCATAGTCTGCCCCGTCTGCTGCATGCCTGGCTCGCAAGTCGCGACGTGGGGCCGCGTCACCGGGGTCATGAGCAGCGACAGTTGAGTGCAGCGCTCAAGCACCGTCCGGCTTTGTCGCGTCTTGTGCCTGTGTTATGAAATCGCGGACCGTCGAACCTCACAAGGCGTCTCGATTCTTTTACGCAATCCTCGTCAGCCACGGCGTTGTCGATCCAGCGCTCAGCGCGAAGAGCAAATTCGGCTGCTTGGTCATCTGAAAAGGACAAAATTTCTAGTTTCAGCCAGCCACGCCACACCCCCACGTGGGGCCCTATCTCGTCGGTGTGGACCGGATCTTGTTGCCGGGGCGGCTAGTGCCAACTCGGCTGAACGGGGCGTCAGTAAAACGAACAATCTGCAAGTCGAAGTTCCGGCCAAACCAGCAAGCAGCGGCCGTCCCGTCGCCCGCTCCGCTGCTCCGGCTGCACCTCGGGCGCAAACCCTTGCGTCGCCAAGAGCGCCGCCCGCAGCACGTCGTGGCGCGCGCGTGGCGTGAGGGCGGTCGCGGCTTGCGGTTGGAGAGTGCGCCGGCGCCGCGCGCCTCGCCGGCGCTCCGCACCATCTCGCGGCCCCAAGAGGGCGCACACGCCGCCAGTCGCTCGTCGTCGCCCGCGCGCGCGCGCGGCGTGCCGCCATGCTGAAGACTGAAACGGAGGCGGGCCACCATGGCGCGAGCCTGCACGGCCACAACGCCGCGCGGCGGCAGGCCATCACCGAGCTGCTATTCTTTGCGAGTGTGGGGGACCTCTTCCGCTGCAAGAAGATATGCAACACCTGGAGGATCGACGTGAGGCGCCGAATCACTCCGAGGGGGCCTTGGAGGGGGCCTTGGAGGGGGATGATCTTGATCTGGCAGGGCGCAGCGGCGACCCGATGGTCCAAGGCGTGCAGGGGTTGTTCGAAGTGCGGAGGCGAGGGCCGGCGCACTGGCAGCGGCGGGCGATCATGGCGTTTTGATGCGAGCACAGCCGAGCGGCCCACGCGCCGCAAGGCGAGGATCCACGACGCGAGCCGCGCCCGACCACGCGCGCGCCCGCTCCCCCTGCCGCAGCCCGCGGACCCGAGCAGCTGCGATTATGACAGGCGGACGCCGCTGTGAGTGGCAGAGGGGTAGAGACGGTGTGCTATGCAGGGTCCGTTCCAGCTGCCCTGCCCGGATGCATGGCCGCGCGCCACTGCAGGCTGCACTGGTTCAGTTCACACAGCAACCCGCGCGGGCTGCCGCTCTGCTGGCATGCTGTCATGCTGTGTGGTTGGCATGCCGCAGCGCCTGGCCTGGCCCTGTGCTTGACAGTTTGTTGCCCTGCATCCTGCGTCCCCCTTGCGCACATGCATATGCACTCAGTCACACACACACACACACACACACACACACTACACACGCACACAAACACCCACAGCCACCTGTCAGCGTCGGAGGGCTGCTACAGCGTGGTGCAGTGGCTGCTGGACGAGTGCGGCGCCGAGATCAACCCGGTGGACCGCTTCAAGCGCACACCCCTTGAGGTGTGCACGCGGGCGGTCATTCCAGCCACCACACATGCCCTCCTCCAACCGCCGCGGCGCGGCAGAACGCGGCAGGCGGCCAGCCTCGCACCGGGCGCTGCCGCGCGTGGGCCCCCCCCCCTGCGGGAAGGCCCAGCGCAGTCGTGCAGCGCGCGCCCGCACCCACACGCTTGCAGGCAACCAATCACGCGCCTCCCGACCCGGGACAACAGCATTAAGCCCCTCCTTTCCCCACAAATTTCATAGGACGCTGTGCGTGGGGATCACGGGGAGGTGGTCACCTTGCTGCTCGCAAAGGGCGGGAAGGTGACGGGGCAGGAGGGCCACCTGATAGATCTCAGCGAGAGCCGCCTCAGCGGCAACGTGCGGATCTTTGGGGAGCTGGATCCCGAGTGGGAGGTGAGGGGGCGCGGGGCTGGTG